TTAACAAGTCAGTGTGTTGAGATGTTTTTGGAAGCACACTGCTGTTGAACTTTAGACCCCATTACCTCAATGGACTTTGCCTATTTTCCAAGTCACCACTGAATACAAATGCCTTGTCTGGGCTCACTGCCCCACCTGGTGGTGCAAACCAATATTACATGAAATAACACATTTACAAAGTGTCTAACACAGATTCAGACAAAACCTATAAAATAAAAATTTAAGAAACTAACATGTTATGCTGGACATTGTAGTCAGGCAGCTACAAAGAGATAAATGGCAACAACTAAAGAGGCTAAATAGTTTAGATACGGTTTGTTTGTTGTGCTCCTGTAGGAGGACAGTGGGACTCTTACAAGCCTTTCACACTAACTGGTCATTTTATAATGAGTGCACAGCACCGATTTATCAGTTAAAACTTTGAGCGAGTAGTAATGCACAGCTGAAACCTGTTCAGCAGCCTTACCTTTGGCAGTGTTGATGAAGTAAGGGGAGATGTACCCACGGTCAAACTTCATACCCTCAATGATCTCCAGCTCATCATGCAGAGTCTTCCCATCCTGGCAAATTGAACCAAACATTTACAAGCTGTCCTCAAAAATCAGACAGTAAATGTTCATTGGACGAGTAAATGAGGTTTTCTCCAGCAGGAGGAAATCTCTGAAACCAACCTTCACGGTGATGACTCCCTTGCGGCCAACTTTCTTCATGGCATTAGAAATGATGTTGCCAATCTCCACATCTCCATTGGCTGAGATTGTAGCAACCTGAAAGAGCAGACTCATAATTAAAGCTCAAATCCCAAATGCCCGAGGCCTTATGGAGACAGCAGAAACATTACCATACCTGTGCGATCTCCTCGGGGGTTGTGACGGGCTTTGAAAGGTTCTTCAGCTCGTTGATGATGGTTTCTACAGCCATCATGACACCTCGGCGAATCTCCACGGGGTTCGCACCTTTGCTGATGTTGTCGAAACCTTCCTTGGCGATGGCGCGAGCCAGTACAGTGGCGGTGGTCGTGCCGTCGCCGGCCTCCTCGTTGGTGTTGTTGGCCACATCCTGCACCAGCTTGGCACCAATGTTCTTGTACTTGTCCTTCAGATCAATGCTCTTTGCCACCGTCACGCCATCCTTGGTGACCTTTGGACTGCCCCAGCTCTGCTCGATGATGACAGTGCGACCCTGAAATGAGCCAGAAAGTTGTGAGATGAAAAGTTCTGCACATGTTTCACAAAGACAAATAATCACTTTCATCTCCAGTATTTTCTTAAGTCTATGCCATTTGTTGCATTGCAAGAGGCATTTAGCATAATGATTAATGCATTTTGTTTAACACTTGGCTGATGAAGGACTAGCATATCTGCTTTATTAGTCCAAATACATCTCAATTCTTTGCTGAAATTAAACCTGCTTTTGGCAAGAAATTCAGTGATTTCCCTTCTCTGCCTGTGGAGGGCAGGGTACCCCTTTGTGGCATCAAGTCAAAGTGTACAAATATCTAGCTGTAAGAGCCCCAGTTCTGCCCACCTTTTGTTCAAATATCTGTATTTATTAGTGCCAACCACTCAGTAAAGTTGGCCCAATGCAAGACCAGGAGCTGAAAGCCTACACCAGGGGTCGGCAACCTGCGGCTCTTTAGTCCTTGTACTGCGGCTCCGCGTGGTTTGGGAAAATATATTAGAAGTATTTAGCTGAAGTGTATTATTTATTATTTATTAATGTTAGTTATTTTTTAACTTTTAGTTCTAAATTGGAAGATTATTGTAATATTGAAATGTAAAAATAAAATTATATTCTATTATTTTTTCATCGCTCAAAATAAGCGTCACACTCGCGGAAGCCGGTGTACCCGCCGAAACGCTGTGCATTTATCGAGACTTTCAACCCCAGGTAGGCCAATTACGGCTCTTCGGAGCCACATTATGTCGGCAGCTGTTCTCCACCGTGAACTATGTTAACAACAAACACCGCTCATGCCTCACAGATGACAGCTCACAGTCCTGCGTAAAGATGAAAGTGACTTCGTACAGCCCCGATTTGCAGACGCTGTGTGCAGAGGTTCAGGAGCAGAAGTCCCACTGTAAACATACCACAGCAGACCCGACGATGTTTCTGTGAACACGCTTTTCAGCATCTCTTTATTGACCACTTTTCACACACGGTTGCTGTACGCATACAGCCGGCTGTAGCTTTTCAGCTCACAGCCCGACACACACCAACACAACAGCAGAGCGAGCACAGACGTTGAGGTGGCAAGGTGTGATTGCGGGTGCAGCTCAGGTGCGTCCGCCTCCGCTGCAGCGGCGTTTCAGACCACGCCCCGCCACACACATTAACCAGGTAAAATACATATTTAGGCAGAATTTTGCAAATATCTATTTTTCATTTTTCAGCAGCATAATGCTTTTTTCCCCCAATTAGATTTTAAAAGTCAGGTCAAGGCTCCAACAGCCCAAAGGCAATATAAGGGTGGTGGATCACAACAGTTTTTGTTTGCTACATGGATCATTTTAGTTCAGCTGGGTGTCTTTCCTTTTTTTATATTTCTTTAAGAGTTAAAAATGTGTTAATTACATTAATAAAATGTGATTTTCTCTGTAGCACTTCATGGATTTCATAAGCAACACACCTTAGTTGTTCACACAAAGCACAAGGTAAAAAACAATATATACAGTGTTATCTTCATTTTAGATGTCAAAATGTATTAGCGGCTCCCGGTGTTCTCTTTTGTGTGGAAACCGGCTCCAAATGGCTCTTTGGGTCTTAAAGGTTGCTGACCCCTGGCCTACACCAACACTCAGTGTAAGATATTAAGGATCTTTCTGTACAGTCTGTACAAAAAAATAAAAAATAAAAAAATAAAAAATCAAAGGGGGCGTTACCTTTGGGCCCATGGTGACAGCCACGGCATCAGCCAGCAGGTCCACTCCCTGCAGCATGAGGGCACGAGCGTCAGCCCCAAACTTCACATCCTTGGCGTAGGCTCGTGTGAGGTGGGGAGCCAGCGCACGGCTCACAGGCCTCACCTGCCTCATGACTGTGGCTAAACGAAACATGTCTGTGGGAGGAAAACACAGGTTAGGCCATAATGATGACTCCAAGTATCCCAAAGTTTAATTACATTTCTTCGCATATGTAATAAGTACACCCCTAGTGGCCGCAGACGGCATGACATGAGACTTGTGAATGAATGAATAAAGGAACATCTCCAGTTGTACTAAACAACAAGGGGGCAGAGTCCCCTGGACTTATCATTAATCTGCAAGTTTAATGGTTTTAAGTGTTACCAATACTGGTTTTGGCCTGCCTACCTACATATTAAAAGTAAAGAGAGGTGCAGCTGAATACATTTTATTAATAGTTGAACAACACAATCTGACAGCCAGAATATCTGAAAATGTGTCAATTAAGTGGTTGAAACTGGAAGATATTTCATTAACCTCCTAAGACCTGAACTCTTCCACGGCATGCATTTTTAATTTCTCTTTGATATTTGGACATATTGGGGCCCAATGAATGTAAAAACAAAGAATAACTAGGTTTGTTTTTTTTAAACACCTGATTTTTGTTTCTAAGAAAAATGACAGCCACATGAGGATATTCGATTAAAATTTTGATAGAACAGTAGCAGTGTAATGTCCTTGTAACAAACGAACAAACCAAAGAAAGAGCCTGGAACATTCTTTAACATTCATTAAGGGGTTAGTAAAAATGACAAGGTAGCCCCAGAGCCAACCTGTTAAAACCAGTTAGGAAAACCTGTCAGTGACTTCAGTCAGCCAGATCACACCGGCTTAGCGAATAATGACCATATTTTAATCATTGAGTAACATATCAATTATCAAAAAGTAGAAATTGTAAATTTTTGGGTACTGCAAGAACAACAAGCTATTACGAGTTTAAACTGTGCAGCAGTAGTATGCAAGAGCACCTTGTCGGTTATCGGCGATTTTTAAATGGGGTTAACAACCATGGATTGTTATTAAGGTCTAAGGACCACAGGATTGTAACCCCAGATAATCCATGTTTTTAAAAGTCGTGTACAACACCACCCCCGCGACTTTATCCCCATTCTTGTTGTAATTACTTGAGGTTAAGCTGTATTTAAGCTACTGAGCGACCAATAACCATAGTAAATTCAGTGCAGATGAATATAAAAAAATCAATTAAGTGTAACTACTTCAAAATATGTGATAGTTGACTAAAAGATGTTCTAAATGCTTCAGTCTCTTGACTGTTAATTCTATGCGCATTGACCGTGACTGGATTAAGAAACGTCCACCCCACGCGTGCGCTCTTCAGGTCGTGCGTCACAAGGTCAAATTTGTGAAAGCACGTGTGGAAGTGCTTTCTCCATCCCTGCTCAGCTCATACACGGTCTCACTGCGAGGTTTTAACTGCTTTTAATCACTCGCTATCTTCCTCTTACTCCACACGAGCAAAGCACATTTAACAGTCGAGACAATACACTTACGAGGAGAGCACAGAGACAGCTAGCCTGTCGGTTAAAGTCTGTAGTCACACTCGTGTGTCCTTGCAGTTAGAAGGGGAAGAAATATGTTAGCGCGGAGCTATCAAACTCGAGCCTCCTGAGCAGCATGCGCAGAATGTACTCTACATAAAAGCTAGCGCTATTCGCGAGTATACGGGCTGTAACGTAAACTGAGTAGCTTCAGACACTTGCAGCAGTGTCCACACTTACCTGTGAGTTGAGGTAAAGGCTTGCTGCTAGCCGGTCTGCAAGACGGAATGATATAACGACTGGAGGAGAGACCAGTCGTGTGGAGTAACGGAGACAGAACTGCACATGGCCTAGCACATCCGGGTTATGTACCGGCCCGCCCAGACTGTGTATAAACCATAACTACCTAATAAAAGTGCTCTTCTTTTAAAATTCATAATGACGTGCGGGCACACGATTACTTGAATTATAGTTCTCGATAAAATAAAGTCAAAACAGTGTGTAAAATAGGCTAATTAGGATAGAAATATGTAGTATTATAAATTAATGCTCGTTCCTGGGCAAACGGTTCCAGAATTTTCTGGCGCGCCATTGGCGGAAAAAAAAAGGGTCAAAGTTGACATTGTGCAACATTGCCTCAGCTCGGAGTGTTTCAAAGACCGAAAAGTCACTAAAGCAGTTTTAGAAAATGTCCCGTACATGTTTTGCTTTTATTAAATAATGTGTGAGCTTTTAAAAAAATATTTTGATGTTGGCCTTGGGTGTACTAGAACTTTCCCTTGCGCCTGACGAGTTCAGGGCAGGTTAGTGCGCATGCGCATTCTGGATATTTCTTCACGTGGAGCTATCCTTCAGCGTACCATATTCAAGCTCACCAAGGATTCGGGGTGCAGATTCACGCCGGCTCTCAGACCTCACACACGTCCAGAAATGGTAAGGTGCCTGGTTAATTTAAAAAAGGCGAACAAAAAACGAGCGTCAATCACCGCCGAGTTCTTTGATATAGGGGACGCAGTCAGTAGACGGTTTAAATAAACTGACCAGCTTTTAGTTATTCTTAGCCGCATGTTAGCTAAAGTGAACATCAGTGACAAGGTCACGCTGCAAGGGAGCTAAGAATGAGCTTAAACAAATGCACGTTTGTCTTAATGGCAAGCCACAAAGCCTAAAACTAGATGAGGGATCATAAGACCTGTATACAAGTACAGCTATGAGCGCACTGTTAGCTGAAGTAAAAAGGTAAGTAATTGCACTTAGTGTAGCCATTTATTCATTCATTCTCACACACACACACACACACACACACACATAAGGTGCAGCAAGTTTGCGTTTACTGTCAAGCTCAAGGGCACAAACATCCAGGCATGAGATTTAGTGAGGAGCGACAGGCAGTCCCATTGTTCCTGCTGAACTACTACTGACATCATGGCCTCTGAGTCAGGAGCAGCGGAAGTTTCGTTTGCTTGAAAGTAGTTTTTACAGCAGCATGCACTCAGATTGCATTCAGGACAAATGAGGTACTCAAGTACTTTATCCACCGCATTTGAGGAAAATTGAGTGCTTTTTACTGCAGTAAATCTCTTTAAAGGCTTATCAGTGTAGAGGGAGTTATACTTGTCTGTACACATTTGCTTTGGAAAAGTTGCATCACCCCTGTGTAGAAACATTGTCACAAGTAAAGGTAATGCTAATATTTAAAAATGTACGAAATCAAAAGTACTCATTGTATAGAACAGGTTACTACTAGAACTGAGTCTTGCCACTGGTCAGCCATCTTGAAATGTTATGAGACACTTAGGTGGGTAGTTCTTTTGAACCCTTGTTTAAGTAGAAACCATGTCTGCCAAAACTAGATCCTCAACTAGCTTGATACTCAATTTAAATGTAGATGTCTAGTATACATCTGGTTTTCTTGTCAGGTCATAAGCCAATCAAAACACTATCAGTGGCTAAAGTATAAGGAGAAAAGTTGGTGCATCTGACAGAAATGTGGGGCTAATCATAATGAGCTTATGCAACTTGTTAAGAACTTGGTGAAAACTGCTTCGTCTGGCCTTGGATTTTATCTGGTACCAGTGAGCAGGAGGATGTTTGATCCAGGCTCAGGGCTGATTGATGTTAGTTAGTTTGTTTTATCAGTGGAGAGGTGAAGAGTCCTTGGCCTGGACCCCTCAGACATAGTGTGGAAGCTCCGCCTCCTTTCCCTACTTATCAAACTGGGACCAGTCCCACTCCATCACCCTCCTCCATCACAGTCACAAATGACCTTTACTGAAGGTCACTCATGCAGTTGCTTTTAAACAAATGTTGTCCTTAAAGTCGTGACAGAAAAAAGTTGATCAGTGTCTCTCTGAAAGGCTGCACAGCTGCTGTCCTCCCTCGTGATTTCAGGCTCAAGTAGATAAATGAGGAAAAGTTAATTTTCAGTTTAGCGGAAACTGATTGACAAAGGCTGCCTCTGTCGCTGACCTCCACCCTCTTTCTTTAACTCAAACCCCGCAGCTTATTATCCACTCATGCATTATAACCAGCACGTTTCTGTATTAACTTACAGTTTGACTTAACTGTAAGCATGTGAAGCACTGAATCTAGTTAATGTTCACATTTTAAAACCTTTGCAGCAAATCAGTGTGTGTGTACAGATGGTGCATAACACATAAGTCAGGGGAGTGGGGCGTGTTACACAAGAGAGCCAATATAAAAGTTTGGAGTCAAATTTGTAGGATTTTTCTTTTCCTCCAACTTTTATTTCTAATGATGAATCATTAGCTGCCCAGTTCACCTAAACATAGTGTGATAGTCATGCTAATATGTCCTGTCTTTGTGTGGTCTCCAGGCTTTCAGAAAATTCCTTCCTCTGTTTGACCGGGTGCTTGTGGAGCGCTTCACAGCAGAGACGGTAACAAAGGGGGGCATCATGCTGCCAGAGAAGTCTCAAGGCAAAGTGCTGCAGGCTACAGTGGTGGCAGTCGGACCTGGCTCTGTCACCCAGGTAAGCATACAAGGCATAGCTGCTACAAGAAGAGTGTATGGTTTTTGTTTTATTTTATAAACTAAAGCTTGTTTTAGCAGTTGGTATTAAACTACATGAAAATCTCACAATTCACAATACCATTAATAAAAACAATAATTAAATTAAGAACTCTTAAACAGAAACTTTATTCCCCTCCAAAACAAGACGGTTATGAATCAGTATACCATGCTTGAGATGGGTTTTACTTTGAAAAGATTCCAATATTATAGTTATTGCTTATCCTTCAGTGTCCCTGATTGGGTTTAAAGCAGGGGTGGACAACTCCAGGCCTCGAGGGCTGGTGTCCTGCAGGTTTTAGATCTCACCCTGGGTCAACATACCTGAGTCAAATGATTAGTTCATTACCAGGCCTCTGGAGAAGTACGAGAATTGTTGAGGTCATTTAGCCATTTGAATCAGCTGCGTTGGATCAAGGACGCATCTAAAACCTGCAGGACCCCGATCCTTGAACCCTGGAGTAACCCACCCCTGCTTTAAAGGGTTAGGCTGATGCAGCATAATTCTTTTTATGCGCACGACTCTTATTTCTGTATACACAGTTGCTCCTGCAAAAGCAAAACTGTTCAAAATTAAGTCTGTTATAGTTTTTAGAATTTCTGGTTTTAGTTTTCTGAAGGTGCTGCACCTTTAAATATGATGCATTAAGAGAATAAAATCTGGACTTTACTATTTCCTGAACCCTGGTTACAGAATTGGGTTAGCACTGCTAACATAGTCAGTGTCTGGTTGACCTTCAGACTTGATCTAACCTAACCTAGGATTTTTCTCTCAATGATGCATTTGAAAACTGCAGTAAAAATGTATCTCTAAATACACAGTAGTGAACAGGACTCCTGCTGAAGCACAGATCCTCAGCCATCTGCCCTTTAAAAAGCTGTTAGGATCAGGGAAGCTACGTGTCATGTGACCATCCACTGCATGACTGTATTTTCTTGTAAATTATAGGGTGAAACAAAAATACAGATTTTTATTGATTTTTAAATATAAAAGACTCACTAACAACTGTGGTGTTACTTCATGCCTAACATGTTTTTCTCCTTCTTTCAGAAGGGAGAAATCCATCCAGTGAGCGTTAAGGTTGGGGAGAAGGTTCTCCTACCAGAGTACGGTGGGACTAAAGTCATTTTGGATGACAAGGTGCGGTGCAGTTTCCTCAGACTCCGTCCACACTTTTGTGCTGAAATTAGTTACATTTTTTCTTGTCTTTTCTCCCATAGGACTATTTCCTGTTCCGTGATGCAGATATCCTCGGTAAATATGTTGAATGAGTCGCCAGTCCTCATGTAAAGTCCCTGACATCCCCGGAGAGAAGAAATTAAGTTCATTCATGTCTGTCTTTTTTTTTTTTTTTCTTCTTTTTTGTTCCTGTAAATAATTCTAATCATGTTTTGTTACAATAATAAAAGTGAAGACTCATTGTTGGGCTTTTCCTTTGACACACCTCCACCTGAAACTGTGTGATACTTGTGTAATCTTGGCAGAAGGAAAGTTTAATAGGCTTTTGTTCACATAAAGAAAAAAATGCAAGCACAGAAAAAGCTAAACACAAAAGGTGCTGCTATAACTTTTAGCTGTTTTGGTTTTGCTGTAGTTTTAGTTTGGCAGAGGGTGTTGTAATTTCAGATGGTGTTGCTGCACTTCAAGTGATTGCTTTAAACCTTTGAAATCACAGTAAAACCACAGCATTTAGTAGTATAACATTTGTAACCATAGGGTTAACGTGGGCTGGAACAAGGAATGATGTAAAGTTTCTGTATTTTCAAAGCAGAGAAGAAACAAAAACGAAACAATGTGCGACGCTGAGAGATGGAGAAAGATTTGCGTAGCTGAAAGGGAAATGAGAAATTATGTTCAAAAGTAAGGACTGCACAATAAGTTACATCTGCTAAAGTGGAACCATACTGTTCTAATTAATGTTTTTAAATCAAATATCGAACTTATACATAATGTACTGATGAATGTGGTTTTGTGGAAAATAATGCAAACCAGAAGTATATTCATTTTTGACTCATTTGAACTTCAGGCAAAACTGGTTAGTTTGTAGTAAAGTATATATTAGACCGGTACAGAGCAGACCAGTTGTTCATGGTTAATACTAGGTTATAGCAAGGGTAGCAGATATCAATCTATATTTAAGGTTATCTATTAGATTCACCCACTAAATTCTCACTTTTATTCTAACTTTCAAGTGTGTTTGGGTTGGGAAATCAGCCACATGCACCCTGAAATACCTGCTTATATCTTAAATGCATATGACTAAACCCACAACGAGCAGTGCATGTGGAAGGAGAAGCACAGATCAGCTGATCAAAACAAATTATTTATTTCTAAGGAATTCTTTTCTCAGCGTTACTAAATCCGATTTTAAGGTTTCCCAACCAGCCAAATCCCACTTGAGCCTGTAACTAAGGGACCCATGACACAGAAAAACATACAGTAAAACGAAAAACTACAGATTCCTAACTAAATCACAGCGCCTCTCTTTGTAGACAAAGTGAGTAAGCTGGGTTTCCTTATAATTCAGACTTTGAGGCAGTGCACCCAGATTTCATGCGTAGCTGGAAAAACATTAAACACTGTTCTTGGTGTTTGTCAGGTTGGTCTGTGTCTTTCTCATTGGCACTTTGCAGGTATGCGAACCCCCTGCATATTGGCTAAAGAAGAGTGCCCTATCACTGATACGGGTCTCCTTACATAAGAATGAAGTTTGAGCCTCTTTGTGTTACCGTATCCGCTCAGCAGCTACAACACCGCGGCTGACGAACATCCGGGTATTCTGTCGAGATGGTCATGGCGGAGGGTACTGCAGTTCTCAGGAGGAATCGGCCTGGAACCAAGGCGAAGGTGAGTTGTGGTCTGTAGAACCACTCCAGCATGAGTACAAGAACCCTCTCCGCGGCTGGGAGAAGCTGCGTCTGTGATGCTGTACAGCATTATCGTCCTCATTTTCGCGACAACTTTGTCGCAGACAGCGTATAGGAAGGGCCTGACCTGGAAATAGCCAGCTAGCTAAGATTAGCGGTTGCTCCGTCTAGTTCCTGGAGTAATGTTAGCGACTCTTGGTCCTGCTTTCCCTGTTCTGAATAAGTGTTCGGCTTGAATAATTCCTTCGCCAGTTTGATGATACATTTTTACACATACCTCGATCCACGCGTCCGAGAAAAATTGTTAATTTCGCCGGAGCTTTGCAGGAAATAGTCATATCCCAATAGACGATACATAACTATGTAGCTAGCTATCTGCCTTCGGAGCTCAGAGTAATGTAGGAAAACTATGGCTGTTAACTTAGGTACTAACGTTTTACCCTCCGAAAAACTTCACCTGTCACCGACAGTTTGTCATCCCGTTACCCCCCTCTCCGTGTGTGTCATATATGATTTATAAACTGCCAGGATTGGCAATTTCTTTTCATTTTACGTCAGATGACAGTCACATTATATAGACTAGCTTTTGGATAACTGGCGATACATTCCAAACACTGAGTGCACACTAATACTGTCCTTCTTCATTGTGCAGGATTTCTACAACTGGCCGGATGAATCATTTGAGGAGATGGACAGCACCCTGGCTGTCCAACAGGTGGGTTGACATTTCGTGTGTGTGTGTGTGTGTGTGTGTGTGTGTGTGTGTTCCCCACTCAATTTTAGACTGTCTGGTGCTGCTGTCTTATCGCTTGAGCTTAAAGTTGCTCAAATTAGACAAGAATTTGACTACATAGAGCTCGGAAATTCACATAAACAAAACAAAGTTAGATCCTAGCAGGCATTAGGGAGGAAAACAGGCTAATGAATTTAAAGTTGCACTGTAATAATAACCTTATGTTTACTACGTACTTTAACTAAACTGTACTGTGAGTCTGAAGAATGAGTCATTCAGATGCATAGCAGTTTTGGCTTTTATTATGGCAGGTCGTGTCATTGCAACATTTTGTGCTGTGGTGTAGCACCAGCTGCAGGAGCTTTTTTTTGTTCTCCATTGATACCAGTCATTGATACCACCTTGACTTCTGTGTGTTCACTTTCGTAGCCCGGCCACGATCACACTATCGCAGAATCTGTTTTTCAAAATCAAAGCATGAAGACTTTCTTTGATTCCAGCTATGCTGCCAGGTAGCTACAACCCAGATAACTGACACACCTAGGGTGTGTAGCATAGCAACAGCCCTACAGCATGTAACCACAACAGTTAAATATAGTGTAATTATAACTTTGTGGTATGAAATTCCTGTGATCACACTAACATATTTTTCAAAATGTTGTTGAATGTTGTTGATACGTTTCCTTCTTCCAACTACTACCCAAGCCAAGCTCCTTGTTGCTGCTTCCTGTCTGGAAAAGGGTTTCCATTCTAGTCACATGTGCTGTTTTGTCATTTTAAAACGATTTAAATGTTTTAAAACGTTTATATATTCCATTATCAACTCGAACTTGCTTGAAAAACAATCCCATTATGCATTACATTAGTGATGTCACAATCCTGAGCTCTATATTCGGTCAGTGTAAATGTTGTTAAAGGTTTAAAAAACTGTGGGGGGATTTCACACTCAACCTAGTGAAGTGAGTTTATATGTATAGTAGAATTTAAAACCAAACTTTTAACCAAAGAGCTCTCTAGGTGAAACTGGATGAAGTCCTGACACAGAAAAACATTGAACTGAGGGTCAGTGACTTTAATCAGCCGGTTAAATTTGACATTTTTGACTGTGCTTGCAGGCATCATGTGTTGTCTTTACATGCCTTTGTCGGAACATGATTTTGAGACAGTTTGCAGTGTTTGCTGCTTTTTCTGACTTTAAGTAACCAAAATCTCTCCAAATTTCTCTGTGCCTTCTTTTAAGCAGTAGGGTTAGCACTGTGAGCTTTGGATTATGAGCTGTGCTTGTTGTGACATCTTGTTTTTAATAATGTTGTCACTCAAGTTTTTCTCAACATTTCTGTTGTTATTTTCTTTTTTTCCATCTGACTCACTCCTAACGTACCGGTGTGGCTGACAGTAGCCCAAACATTTACACATGTGCTGCTCTCTGCTGTGTGTGGCAGCCTACCTGGTGCGGCTCTGACTTTATTCCAAACACATTATTGGTTTGGTGCGGCACTGTTCGCATTGTCATTGGCCTTTCGTGATGTATGAACACATTCACTGTGTGTTCATCATGTGTCAGGTGATGAAAGTCAGACTGGACTGTAAGTGAGAGTCTGTACTAATGTGTGTGTTTTCTCTGTGTCAGTATATTCAGCAGAACATCCGATCAGACTGCTCCAATATCGACAAAATCCTGGAACCTCCTGAGGGTCAGGATGAGGGCGTGTGGAAGTATGAGCACCTCAGGTAAGAAGTCTTGGGCCACATATTTCTAAACAGGATCAGAGCTGCAGACAAGCATTTATAAAATGTCCTTTTATATTCTGGCAGCTCCTACACAGTATAGCAAATATATACTGTACTTTTTGTTTCTAAAATGAAATGTTTTGCAGGCTTCATTAGTTCTGTGTTCGGTGCTGTGCTTATTTCTACTGCGTGCAATCAGTTTTTAGTAACATCTCTCAAGAAATTATTAAATTAAGTTGAATATGTAGACCAGTGTCGTTTCTAGAGATTCTTTGAACCAGTTCTTTGTTCAGATATGAGGAGCTTTCAGATAAAAAGAAAGTGAAGTATAGGCGATCGCTACTTGCTTAAATCTTGTGCTCACAGTTGGGCTAAAACCTGGCTGCAGAAGAAAAAAATCATGTGATCAGAGGATATTTTGTTTTAACTCTGCTTTCATTGGATCCTTTTGTAGGCAGTTCTGCCTGGAGCTGAACGGGCTAGCTGTGAAACTGCAGGTGAGTACACTAAATCACCACAAACTTCCTTTGGTAATTTTGGGGTTTGAGCATTCTTTCGCCCCTAGAAATTCGCCTTAATCCTCTATAGATCCCGAATCAGGTCTCATTTAAGGTTAAAAAAAAAATAGTGCAGTCTGCAAAAATGGTCATTGACACATAAGTCAGCAGCATGTAGGCTTGCTACTCTTTGTAAACCAGGAATATTTCTCTCTAGTGCAGAACGGTTCAGGAACATCAAGTAGTTGGTTTAGTAAGAGACTGTTAGCTGCAGTGATTTTGGTGTTTCTGCCTGCAGAGTGAGTGCCATCCAGACACCTGCACCCAGATGACAGCCACGGAGCAGTGGATCTTTTTATGTGCTGCCCACAAGACACCCAAAGAAGTGAGTCAAAGCTTCCAGCTGTCACTCAAGCTTTTCAAGCAGCTGCTCTCACATTGATGGGTTTGTGTTTGTTTTGTGATGCTGCTGCTTCCACAGTGCCCTGCCATCGATTACACCAGGCACACGCTGGACGGAGCTGCCTGCCTTCTTAATAGCAACAAATACTTCCCCAGCAGGTCAGTCGTTTTCCATTAAGCAGCTATAATTTATAGAATAGTATCAAATCAATTTCAGGTCATTGTTTAGCTGCTAAGCTGAATAACCAGACTGTTTCTGTTCACTCTTAATACTCTTGAGGTATCATTTTCAGCAGGCATCCGATTTCAGTATCCAAGTTCCAAAAGTACTCTTCAAGCTTCAAATTGACTCCAATAGGTGCTTCTACTAAAAAATCTCAGATGATTTAAAAAATGTGACCTCGATCTAAAGGTCAGAGGTCAAGTTCTCTAAAAACCCTTGTGAATGTGACAACTTGAAAACGAGGGGGGGGATGTAGGATTTTTCAAATTCATACCACAGGTGTGTCTGCTAGGAAGCCGTGGGGTGGTGCTGGTGGTTGCCAGTATTTTATTAAAAGTTATGCACAACTGTATTACTTTAAATTGCTGTTTGACAGGCATCAGCCACCACAGACATGACTTGATTACATGAGAGACGGAATAAAGTGTTGGAGGTGGGGTGGTAGTGGGTTGTAAAGTGGCTTTCATGTGCGCACACTGTAGACAGGCTAAAGCACATTTATTACAGTGCCTTAGATGAGGTTGGATTTGTATGGACAAAGTAATGGGGCACCTATACATTTCACCAGCAGCTGCTCAGCTATGGAAACCCATGCTGTGATGCTCCCAGTGCACAAGCTAAATCACCACTGGTTTGTGTCTACAGGGTGAGCATCAAGGAGTCATCAGTGGCCAAGCTGGGCTCTGTTTGTCGTCGCATCTATAGGATATTCTCTCATGCTTACTTCCATCATCGCCAGATATTTGACAAGTATGAGGTAGGCGTTTACAACCTTTGCTTCCCATCGCTCTCTGGTTGTTGCTGTCAAGCTAGAAATTCTAAAATGTGATTTTATTTGTTCCTTCCTGGTATATGGATTTGTCTTTTCTTTTTGCTGTTACAGAAATCAAACTTGAAGAGGTCATAAAGACTGTTATAGTCTCTCTTGTATTTTTAGTGTGTTCATCATTGGTTTTAAGTAAATGTGCTCTGTTCAAGTTAATTTTTCCCCATTTCATTTCCATTTCAATTGCTAAATTGATTGTAACAAAAATTGGAAAAAGTGAGGCGTTCCCCATCTTTGAGTGACTTCACACAATAAACTGTGGATCAGTTCTCTGCAGAAATCTAAATGATGCTTACGAACAATCACTCAGTGCTTTACCTCCACTGTGCTCGGTGGCAGCAAACTACACACAGACTCCACGTCAGTGCATCAAATCAAACTTTTAGCCTTTTAATGGTGACACTGGTGAGCAAGCACGTTAACGTTAGCCAGCTAGCTGCTGCGTGGGATATAAGCAGTTTGTTCACAATAGCTTAACAAAAGACTATTTATACAAGTCCATAATGTCTAAGGAAAGAAGAATTTGAATGATGTGTCAACTAGTTACCATCAGCAGGGCATCCCATCCAAGGAGGGTTATTTTGAGTTTTTCTTTTCAATTATTTGTCGACATGTCCAAATCACAACTCTGAAACTGTAAGTGAAGATTTAAGATTTGCACATTTGTCTTTTTTTAAATCACAGTTCTCCTCCTACTTCATCTGCCTGACCCACCACTACTGTGTCCTCCCTTATTTCCACCTTATCTCCTGAACTCAAGTCACGGCTCCAACATAAGAAAATGTACATAAACATGCCTATTTATTACAATATTGTTACAGTTTTTGTCAGAAGATGAAACATGAGACCCTGCTGTAGCCAGCTGAACAGCTGGTTATAAG